TCGACCAATTTTTGGTACATACTGGGCGGTATCTTGGTTTCCTAGTACTCAAGAGTTAAAGGTTTATCCACATAAGCATAGTCTTTCGCATAACCACGCAAAACAATCCCACTAACAACGATAAGATGAGAGCTAAGGCGGCTGGGCCATATCCCCTCGGGTTCTGTAGCATATGGCACCATCTTGTTGGAAGCACAACCGCCAGAAAGGCGGTTATCATATGGACAGTAACAGTAACGCCGTTATCGGTTTTAAGGAAGTAAGGTAAGCTGATCACACCTCCGAACCAAAGATCGCACAGAAATTGAGTCTTATTTAGTGTAACTGCCATACTGAAATTATTTGAGGATTCTCGCCTCCCAAATGTGACAAATTTGTTCATCTACGTATTCCCCCAGTCTGTCGTTCAAGAAAAGTTTGTTCGGAAAATCACCGCCTATTGCTTCAAGCATGCAATTGACGCATCAACGGCGCTGTGAATGGTCAGCTGGCTTCAATTGTGTGTGTGTGTGTATTAATTTTAACCAGTTTAGCCATGTAAATACACCATGCAGGAAAAACCCAACTAGTATGCAAACTATTTCATTAACTACTAGTATTTTAAAGATGAAGTCATACTAGTTCGTTGTTTTAAAAGAAAGCCATCAGTAACGGGGGAAAAATTTTAATTTCCACCACCGTGTGCTGTTGTTATATCGGCTGAGTTTCATTTTCTTAAAAGTTCTGTTGAACTGCGCAGATTTCAGTTCGATTCTCGCAGCCGGCAATGTCCTTCTTATTTCATTTTTTTTTTGGTGAAATGGAAATTCAATAAGCCTAAATGAACTAGTATACAACTAGTATAAAGCTGATGCATAGTAGGGCAATTGTCAGCTCGTAGGACATTGACGTGTTAAAAAAACCAATTGCTTACATGGAAAATAGATGGAAATGAACTAGTTGGCGTAAACATGTAGACAAGTTGAGTTCTAGTTGGCAACTAGTATATTCACCTGCAAGGTATTTTCATAAGTGATTGACTTTTAACTAAAACAAAACATACTTGGTTTGTTATTTAAGTTTGACAGATATCAAAGATATGCATTAAATTAACAATTGTTGAAAACTCGACTTACTTACCCACAATGAGGTCTCCAAATCCCTTGTTTATAAAAATTGCCTGACTGTATTATAAATATATATATCAGGTGTACAACTTTGCTTCCGCCGTGGCTGTACCGGCTGAGGCTGGTTGAAATACATAGATGATAATGCCTTTAATGTGAGTGTGGACAGTGCCTAACGAATTGTCATCGCCGTTTCAGTGACAGTTGTTCTTGTTTTCGTATTATTCACGCTCGAAAATGTCCGTTTATGTGCCTAATTCTCGCCATTTGCGGGAAGTTTTACTTTTCTGTTACAATTCGAAAAACAATGCAGCTGAAGAGCATCGAATGCTCTCAGAAACTTACGGTGGTGCTGCTCTGAGTGAAAGAACGTATCGGGAGTGGTTTTAACGTTTTAAAAATGGTGATTTCGATGTCGAATACAAACATGGTGGTTATGATTTGTATTTGGTGGGATCAGCTCGGTGTGATTTACTACGAGCTCTTAAAACCGGGTGAACCATCACAGGAGATCGGTACCGAACGCAACTGATGCGCCTTAGTCGCGCGCTAAAAAAAAGCGGCCACAATACCAGGAGCGACATGACAAAGTCATCCTCCAACATTACAATGCTCGGCCTCACGTCGCTAAAGTGGTCGAAAAGTACCTGGAAACGCTGAAATGGGAAGTCTTGCAGATCAACATTTTCAATCCTTCGAAGAATTGGAAAAATGGATTGCGTCATGGATAGCATCAAAAGAGGACTCCTTTTTTCGAGCCGGGATCTGAAAATTACCGGAAAGATGGGGAAAAGTTGTCGCTAGTGAAGGACAATAGTTTGAATAATATATCTGTAGTCACTTTTTCGCTATAAAGCTTTTAATTTTGGAAAAAAACGGCGGAAGCAAAGTTGTACACCTGATATATATATTATGTAACCGCTGAAGCGATTTTTAGCGGAAGCTCCTCCTCCAATTTGTGGTTTTGCGTCTTGATGTCTTTCCAATAAAAGGAGGTACCTGCAGTTTATACTTAGCCGTCTCCGAACGTCTGATGGTTTTATACGAGAAGCCATTAATTCATGTCCGAAATACACTCAGAGAAATGGATGTTCGCTTCCGAGGGGCAATCGCAATTAAAACATATAACTTAAATCTTTATTAAAATTAATTTTCCATAACTTTTGGAATATCAGCACGCAATGTTAACCACTCGGCTACTGTTTGCCTGCATTAAATACCAAATAACAAGGCTTTATTTTCTTCTAATTAAAAAATTGTGTAAGTTTAATATCATTAAGTATCAACGCCCGATATGTTCATAGTAGTGTTAACTGGGTTATTTGGTTTGCAAATCAATGGTAAAATTTTTAGAAGGATACTCTCCACCAACTTGATTGGATTTTTCCGGTGTACAGACTCTAAGAGTACTGTTGTTTACTGACGAATGTGGTTATTACGAAATAACATAGCTGTAATCGTAGATACATAGATATGAATATATATATATATGAATAAACATTAAAACACAGAGACGTTTGTGTGAGGTGTAAAGTCGGTAGATGTGTGTTCTTGCGTAAATTGAAAGAGCCTGCTCGGTTGGTTGCGGCAAGCTTTTATTGATTTTTTTTTGCACCTTAATAGCTGCCGGCGCTCACTTTCAGTGAAATTACATACATACATTTCAGTATATAAGCTTGAATGTATGTGCAAAAGGTGTTGAAGTACAACTACATATGTAATTCAGTATGTATACATACTCGTATGTATAAGGAAACATTTCTACATAGAATCGTTTACTACACGATTTGCTTATTCCTGCGCATTCAATGGAATATTTACACACAAAGGAGTTTTCACTGTTTCTGTTGTCTGTAGCTTCTGCGTTCGATATTTATTGCTATTTTTCTAATTCATTGCATTTTAATGGCTTAAGTGAAATTGAATAGTTCTCAGATCGTTTGGTGAAATACTATATTTTGTTTTGTATATATTTTTGTGTGTGGATGGCGGGGATGTTTGTACCTACAGGCAAACGATATTGTATTCATTTTAGCTTGTTTCTTTTCCTTTGTGACGTTTACACAATAAACATACTCGAGACTGAATCGATACATGAAAGTCGAGTATACTTTTTGGTGTGTGGACATATTTTTCTACTTATATTAGTATGTAACCATATGTATATGTGTATATCCATCGCATGTGTTTTGTAATGCAAGTAAGTGTGAATGGCTTTAAGACTTTCATTTATGTAAATTTAACAAAGTATTTTTGTTTCTTTGTCGCTTTCTTGTGTAAATTCAGGAAATTCGTTGTTTAAGGCTGGGCATGAGGATATCAAGAGTAAATTAACAATAAATTAATATTGGTTTGAGGAAAACTAATTAGTTTTCGTTATTTATGCCTTTTCAACTTTCCTTGTGTCTTTGGTACGAGTTTGTAACGTGAAAGCTAATTTTCAAACAAAGAAAGTAAAGTATCTAGAGTAGGGAGTTTTAATAGGAGTAAGGGTTACAAACAGATGTTAACATGACGTTTTTATATATACTCCGAAAACATGCAATCGTCTCACTATGTGAAACATTTTTCTCCAATTATTTTAAATTAAAATATTATAAATATTTATAATTAATCAATTTCGTGGTTTCAAAATGACCAGGCTATATTTGACGTCTGTCAAACTTTTTTTTTAAGAAATTGTTTTTGTTATAAGAAATTGAGCGAAAGGTTTAATTCTTTGCATGAATTGATAATTTTAATATACCACAAAGCGAAAAAAGTGTTTTAATTAGAACTCAGGCAAATATGACAAAAGGCTCGCTTAATAAACACACAAGACGTTAAAGTAGTTAAATTGGTCGCGTTTCATGCGTTAAGAGCAGATTATAGTGCATGTAGTCATTTGGACGACTCAAGGAATTAGTAAGGTTTTAAAGAAATTTGAAGAGACCGTTGGGGTCTCAGATATTGTAAGGTCTGTTGATTATCGTTAAGTGTAGTCGGAGAGCTGGATGTATATACATTTCGATGTTCTCCAGAGCTGGAACTGTCTTACCGCATCTTATAGCATATTTTGCACTTGGACTTCAACCTACAATTTTTAAAATTCTGCCTGAACAACAATACCATTTTCTGTTTCACAATAAATTTAGTTAAAACCTTTTCTTCTCCTTTGTTAAACAACACAACATTTAGCGACAATTAAAGACAAGAAGGGAAGCTAGGTCCTTCTCCACTTGATCTTTCTAACAAAAACTCAGATTTTCTTCTCCATCATTACTCCTCTTCAAGTATTTGAGGATTTTCGGAGCCGAATATTCCACAACAGAGCTTATCCACAAAACTCTCGTGTGTGAAATGTGTCTCGTCGTTGAACACGAGTTTTTCAAAAAATCGCCACCACGAGGAGTGCTTGTTGTTCAAGCACCAATCGACATATGTACTTAGAGCGAATACTTTTAAAGATGGAGTGCTCTCATCAACGGGGATAACATGAATTTGCCAGATTGGCCTCAGTCCCCTTTTTTTCTTTTAAAAAATCCGAATGCTGACTTATCAGGTTTTGTCATAGTCAAACCCCATGCAAAGCTCCGACTTGTACTGTCTGATCTTTGTTCTTCAATACAAAACTTTACTTTTCATTTCCCTACTCAGAAAAAATGAGCATCCTTTGCGGTTGTGGATTTCCTGTTTTTTTTTATTTAAATAAATATTTTTTTTTTCTGAAATATTACATATTATATATATTCAGGTTCGACCATTACCCTGTTGAACTTCATTGCAGTTATAGTTCTTTTAGCCTTTTTAAATAAATTTTTCAATAAAAATTTCTAAGTTTATACCATTTTTTCTATTTTCTTAATATTTGCTGAATACTAAATTATTCCCTCATTCATCTTCATTTCAGCTGATCTCAAATATACTGACAATCAACGCGTCATCATTCATGTCAAGGATGTTAATGATGAACCACCTTATTTCATTAATCGCCCACTCCCTATGCAAGCCGTCGTACAGCTCAATGCTCCGCCCAATACGCCAGTTTTCACTTTACAAGCTCGTGATCCGGACACAGATCATAATATACATTATTTTATAGTACGCGATCGTACAGGCGGACGATTTGAAGTGGACGAACGTTCTGGTGTCGTACGTACACGTGGCACTGATCTCTTCCAATTGGATATGGAATATGTTTTATATGTAAAGGCTGAGGATCAAAATGGCAAGGTGGATGACCGGCGTTTCCAGAGTACGCCCGAAGAGCGTCTATCGATAGTGGGTGGTAAGCGTGCACCCCAGTTTTATATGCCCAGTTACGAGGCGGAGATACCGGAGAATCAGAAAAAGGACTCAGAGTAAGTAAAAAATATAAGTAAAGAAAACTTTTTAAAAGAAATTATTGGACAAATAAATGTGCTGCACAATTTGTTCTTAAGATTTTTTAGCAACCCACGTAATAGAGACTTGGTAAGCTATGTGTTTTTCCTTTAAATATGGGGGTTTCCATCTACCCAAGTAATAATATTATTAAACCAAAACCATACAGAAATCATAGAAAAATTTAATTTTCAAGGAATTCAACGGGCATTGGCTTTCAAACTTCGTGCTATAGTCCGTGGGCTTCTTTTCCTCTGAAAACTCAAAGCCTGAAGAGGCGTACACTATATAAGTGTATTATGGTCAATTCACCTAATAGGGTTCTACAAATGTATACTCTAGTTTTTATTACTTCAAAGAGACGCTATACCTTTCAAGCAAAGTCGTGGACCAGTTTCTTAGGCTCTTCATACTCACACATTGTGGCCTGTTTCTTTTTTGTCTACAAATGCGTCATACTTCCCTCTTTAGCTCTATGCAGTTTGTTTTCTCTCCACTGCAGTTCGACATTCCTCATCGTATCAGCTCTTTTTATGGCACTGGCAAAAGTTAAGTGACTCTATAAAGTCGGTAAAGTTTTAAGGTGCCGTTCCACAGTTCCCTTAAGTAAAGCTGTTGATGAGTGCTTTCATAAACAGCGGCGGGTACGTATCTTCGCAATATCAGGATAGTGAACGAGTCGATGTTAGGACCTCGGAACGATGAAGACGAGAATATATGTAGTCCATCGAACACAACATGATCGATATGGTTTTAGTTTTCCGATCTGGAGACAGCCAAGTAGCTTGACAATTTTGTATTTGATTCTGGTACAACAGAAAATCATATTTCTGGCCCTGGAGAAGTCAATCAGCCTTAACCCATTCAGGCATATTTCCTCGTGGTTACTGAATTTGCTGAAGATACCTTGTTTGGTTACTAACGTTAAAGTTTTCATGCACAATTTTCACATCGTGGCGGGGCAACGCTTATAAGTATGCTCCAGACGCTTACTAAAGCCGTCCACACAGACCGCAGTCATGGCAACAGTGTCCCTCTCTTCCGTCATTGCATGAGGGTATATCAGTGTAATGCGGAAAGATTTTGTTTTGATACGGATTGGGGTGACACTTTAATCTACCAGCATTCGGTTATGATGTCCCTCTCCCACCATTAATCCGACACCAAATTTGCGCTCCTTCATATGGCCGCTATAATATATTTCATAAGAACCCCCCTTCTTCTGCCCTTTTCTTGTACAGCATTTAAGCTTAAAAGGACAACAATCAGCTGGGCAGCTACTCTTTCCCAATCCAGGAGCATTCCCTCAAGCTATAATCCATTAACGTGTGCGGCCTTTGATTCTCTTTGAAAAAGTCTGTCCACAGTAGGGTTGTATCTATAACTTTTGGAGCATAATGAAAATATTGTAATTAATTGGAATATATGACTGCACACGTTTCAGAACATAATTAAACTGTATTTTCCTTTAAACATCACACTTGCGAGTATACGAACTGGTGCTCATGTCGTTAAAGTATATCAACAATAAATATATAAATGGTTATTATATACGTAGCATGAACCAGTATGATTACATAGACATATAAATGTACATACGAGTATATGATTATATTGTACAATATGTAAACATAACTCGCTTTCAAAGCATAGAACAGAAATCAAGTTTCATTAATGACAATATAATCAAGCAATTTGCTTCCTTGATGCTCTGCTTGTGCTACTTACATGAACTCAGAGGCGGATATATACACAGGCCTTTGCTTTCTGCACGGGCTCTGCGCTCCCACCTTCGTGGCCATATTACAACTGATTACATACACATGTTGAAATATAATAAAATATGCAAATTATATGCCAATAAAGTTGTGCAAAGTGAAAAGGAAAAATGAAGCTGCACGGAGCGAAGAGAGCAAAAACTGTGAAGCAGCTAGAGCAGCTAAGCGAATCACTATGAATGGAGGACAAACTTGAGCACGACTCATTGAAATTCCGATAGGAAAACAACTGTCAAATGGCATTTTATATGAAATGAAAGATGTAAACGAAAGGATATGTGAAGACATATCCTGAATTTATAAAAAAAAATATATATTTGTATGTAGGAGAAAGCGAAAAAATAGATATCCATTTCATGCATTCACACATTCACTAAAGAATGAAAATAATGCTATATGCTGTCAAAAATTATTCAATATGTCGACATATTTCAGATTTATTTTTCATTTTTGCAAATTTTTTCAACCAAAAGTTGGAGGCAAAAGCGCAGTAACAAATATTAAAAATTCGAGATTATTCGTACTGGTACATATTTGTACGCACATAAATACTTATTAAGCCACTTTCGCTCATACACTTAGCAAACACTTACTCACGCAAATACATACTTACATATTCGCTCATATTGCCTTTTTCTTTCAGCATTATCTCGGTGAAGGCGAAATCCTTCGCAGATCGGGAAATACGCTATACGTTGAAGGCGCAAGGACAAGGCGCTGGCACATTCAACATCGGTCCTTCGTCGGGTATTGTTAAGTTGGCGAAAGAATTGGATTTTGAGGATTTACGACAGCCGCATGTCTACTCGCTGATAGTTACCGCCACCGAGGACTCGGGTGGTTTCTCCACATCCGTTGAGGTATGTACATTCTTTGTAGATGTAAATAAGTTAACAAAGCCTTTATATGTGTTTGAATGCAAATAAATATACTTCAAGCCACACAAATAAATATATTTTATATTGATAGCGGCAGGTTTGTACGTTTGTATTTTTTTATGTAAAAGAAATTGCAAAAAAAAAAGAAGTAAAGAATTCTGAGAAACTTTTACTGGTATGAGCGGATAAGCAGAGGATATGACTACATATCTAATATGATAATAATTATATATGTCTGTGTGTGTGTGGAATCAGTGGTACTCAAGTGTGCACTGAAACTGTTAAAAAGCGCATTCAATGCCCATTTATCACAGACACTGACTATTGGAAAGTAATAAAAATGTATAATTTTTTGTGGAAAAACTGTGGAAAATATATTTTTAATAAAATATATAAATAATACAGTGCGCACACTTGAAAAGCAAATATTTCTAACCTTTTTACAGGTGTTCAGTAGGTAGTACAGCTTTAGATACCCAAGTACCTGCAGTGCGAGAAGCTCGATACTCTCTTGTTACTCTTTCGTTGCTTAACTGCTCAAATGTTTGTTTGAAATTTTCCAATATTCGATTTGGTTTATTGAAATTTCTTCAGTATTTCATAGAATTTTTAGCTTTGCATAAATAAATTGCAAATTAAAGAGAAAGTTCTGTGAAAAAGGTTAAAGTTTTTGTTCAAAATGCTCAAAAAAGCTCGATTTGCTTGAGCTTGTACTTGAGAATTTACGAGCAATCACCAATGAATAAGTATGCGACCTCTGGTTTCTCGATCTCCAACTGCTCGAAAATGTTCGATCAAAATCTAAAGCTCTAGTAGGCGATAACTCTTCCTTTTACTCTATTACAAGCTTATTCAAGAACGTAGGACCATAAGTATAGTGAATCGTCTGTTTCAGAGCTCCGCTTTACCCTTTCTTAGCAAATCTCGTCTCGAATATTCTTTCCACCAACTATTAGTTGCGAATATTTGTAATTAACAGAAAACCTTTTCGATAACAGCGTTGATATTCTAGAGCATGCAACATACAGGGTTAAACATTTTAGGAAGGGAACCAGACAGTATGTTTTTGGGTGAAGTGAGCTCCATTCAATTGTTCGAATATTCCCACAGTCCCAAATACCAAATTTTTGCTTAATTATGTATCACCGAGTGCAAAATGTGAATCGTTGCTGAAGCAAATTTTGTTCGAAAAATCGACGTCTACTTTTTGTAGTTCAAGCTCCCAATCGAAGTTGTGAAAGGTCAGCTGGCTTCACCTGTTGTGTAAACTGAGCTTGTTACGTCGTAGTGAAAAGTACGCCATATAGTGCCATAAGAAAGATCCACCACTTGAGAACGCCGAGAAATAGACACATTGGGGCTTTCGAATATACTTTTACTAACCGTAGCGATATTTGCGGTGGAATGAGCGAAACGATTATGTGCAGGCAATACAAATCAAAATATCTACCCGGTGCAATCTCTTAAAATTTTATCAATTTACTGATTTGTTTGGACGTTATGTGCAACATAATCTCCTCTTAAAGCGCAAAAGTTGGCCAGGTTTGAATTACCATTTTTGTATAATTTCAAAGAGCTCCACGATCAATTTTCACAAATGGCTGACGTTTAATTAGAAAAAAAACATATTTCGTTTGACCGTTAAGTTTAACAGAAGTCAAAATACAGCCCTGTACTTTTGTAACCATGAAATGGATATTCCTACATAAAGCATGAACAGAGATGTGGGCTAATGGTAGAAAAATTTTTCCCTTTTAGGAATAATGCAATTTATTATGGATGCCTATTTTATAATAGAAATGTCCTAGGTGTTCTTATTCTTTTTTAGAGCACACCTTCAATTTGAATGAAGAGGGTGAACAAAGGTGGATAGCATTATTGGGCGAAGAAGAATTCTAAATGAAAGAAATTCTTGTTCTTGTCCTTTTCTCGCAGAACTTTTATCTTTTTATTATATTAAATGCAAAAATAGAGACATTAATTGAAAGAAATTATTCACTTAAATTTACTTTCTTCTTCTTCCAGCTAACTATACGCGTTACGGACGTTAACGACAATGCACCCAAATTCGAGCTGCCCGATTACCAAGCGCACAACGTTGATGAAGATATACCGCTCGGCACGAGCATCCTACGCGTGAAAGCTATGGACTCTGATTCGGGCGCAAATGCTGAAATTGAATATCTCGTTTCCGATGATCATTTTGCTGTCGACTCTAACGGCATCATTGTCAATAACAAACAACTCGATGCTGACAACAACAATGCATACTATGAATTTATTGTAACAGCAAAAGATAAAGGAGAACCATCAAAATCTGGCGCCGCTACTGTACGTGTCTATACGAAAAACAAGAATGACGAAGAACCGAAATTCTCACAGCAAGTCTATACGCCGAATGTGGATGAGAATGCCGGCCCAAATACGCTGGTCACCACTGTTGTGGCATCAGATAAAGATGGTGATAATGTGCGCTTCGGTTTTGTGGGCGGCGGCACATCGTCCGGACAATTTGTCATCGAAGATATAACTGGTGTAATACGCTTACATAATAAAGCTATCTCTTTGGATCGTGATAAGTACGAGTTGAATGTGACAGCCATGGATGATGGTTCGTGTTGTGTTAATGGCGATCATACCATACACACGTCCACCGCAGTTGTTGTGGTCTTCATAACCGATGTGAATGACAACAAGCCGGTGTTTAAGGATTGCGGTACCTACTATCCGAAAGTGGAAGAGGGCGCGCCCAATGGTAGTCCAGTGATAAAAGTGGTTGCTACAGATGAGGATAAGGGTGTTAATGGACAGGTAAGTCGATAAATAGTGGTAGACATTTTACGATACAAACAGATTTTGGAAGAATAAAGATTTCCTTGGCTTTTTATGGAACTGGGTGCGATTTTAGATAGAGAGGTAGAGAGAGAAGTAGGGAGAGAAACAGAAAATCTTGAAATTGAATATCTCCCTCTCTCTTTCTCTCTCGAAACCGACAAAGGAAAAGTGTCTACTGTGCGTCCGAAAAAAAAAATTAAAAAATACAAATTACTTTCAGGTAAACAATACCATTGTTTTTCACCAAAGATGTAAAAAAATATCAAGCGAAAAATTGAAGTAAATTTCATTTTCTCGCCTTCAGTTGACATGCCAACAATTTAAGTAGCCAATTAATAAAATTAAATGGGAATTGCGGCTGCCCTAACCATTCGGCTTGACATCATTAATTTAGTGCTCGTGCGGTGTATGTACATAACAGAAGAGAATAACTAAACAAACCTCAAAAAATTTATATTCTCAGTGCCGTTATAAATACACAAGTATTAACAATAGAATACTTTGAATTAGGGGAAAGGGAAAGTCAGCATAATTACCAGCAAGTGCACTTGGCCAGGTTGTGAAGCGCGACGAACAATTGACCGTCAAACTGAAGTGTGCTTCAGCAGCTCGCTAATAATACATTCCTTCTTTTGTTAGCATTGTATTTGCAATAAAATGAATTGCCTCAATTTTGATAGCGAAGTTAATTTTTGTATTTCCTTGCGTCTCTACGAAATAATATCGAATCAATTATGGCCTCGTTGAATGGCAAGAAGCTCCTTGCAATTAATATATAAATAATTTAGAGGAATTTATAATGAAAAATAATTTGCAAGAGAGATCCTTACATGACGTCGTATAAAACAAAAAAATGTATTATCTGCCTCCGTTTACCCATTTATTTCTTTTGGTCGTTCAATCTGTGGTTGTTGAGGCCAGTGTTAACAACATCATCTGTTTAACTTTCCCCTCGTATTATTTTCTGCATCAATGAAACAAAGAAGTCATGATATAGAAGGTCATCCTACCTAAAAGCGCTCTAATATCGAATGGCTCCCAATCTGACGTAATTCATGATGGCGATCAGCATAAGATTTAGTGGCATAGAGGCTATTAGTCTTCGTACCACAGAGGTCTGTTTTTCTCAGGAGTATTTTCCAAGTTTAGCTCTTGGTGAATGTTAGTATAAGATGGATTCACCTGGTATTAAATTACACTGATAAGTTCCGATAAGGTCCGAAATCGATTATGGGCTTTAATCTTCCACATATAAGACCTTAGATGCCATCAGCGCACGCATTGTTATTCTCCATGAAGGTCAACATGTTTTATAATATCGTTTAAGAGTTTAGGCCCACTATTTACGTGTGTTGTTCTCTATCTGCCAGTCACGAGAATGCACTCCATAAACTCAGTATATCTGTTCAATGGTCAAGAAATCAATTATTTGGTTCATATACGTGTAAGTTTTGTTCCTAGAATATTCTGTAAGTGACGAGATATTTTTAAAAAATTTTCGGAAACTATTCAGCTCCAGCAGCTTTCTACTATTTGTTAACAGAAAATCTAGAACAGACAGTCATATTTCGAACTTTGCCGTTTTGGCATATTAGGGTGCCCAACCCTTGAAAACATTTTTGGATGTGTTGTTCCACAACGTTGGCGCAAGTCAACCATATGATGAAGAACTTCGGTAAAATGTGAATTCGTCGGCTAAACACCACAAATTCATGTCACGTGGACCTACTCTCGTTGGTCTTTGTCTCGTTCATGACTTCCTTGGATGGCATTAATAACAGCGTTTATTTAAAGGAAGATATCAACCCTCCGAGCAGCAGCACACACTGGAAGCCGGACATTATAGGTGCATACTCTTAAATCATAGTCCTTAACACATTTGAATCAATTCATTGGATCTGGTTTTTACGTAGTGAATCCTTAGCCTAGTGTACAGATCGAGGTTTTGGCCTCACGAGCGATGCTTGTTAGTAACAAATCTGTGGGACAGATGCTTCAGTATGACTCTAGTGAGCGAGTATTGAAAATGTCTCTCTCTAAGCCATAACCTAAAACTTTACGCTTGTTGGTCTATCGCAAAATGATTGTGCACTATTCCAGAATACTCGAGTAGGAATTGAGTGTGTAGACTTATATATTTCTTTCTGTTAAAAGTTATTGAATTGAAAATTGTAAAAATGTTTAAATAATCATCGCTCTCTTTCAGGTAAAATACTCAATCGTACAGCAACCGAATCAAAAGGGCACCAAATTCACCGTCGATGAAGAGACTGGCGAAGTGTCCACCAATAAGGTATTCGATCGAGAAGGTGACGATGGCAAATTCGTTTCGGTCACTGTAAAAGCTACCGATCAAGGTGAACCCAGTCTGGAGGGTGTATGTTCGTTTACAGTGGAGATAACAGATGTTAACGATAATCCACCTTTATTTGATCGACAGGTGATTCAAATAAATTATAAAAAAAATATTATGATAATTAAAAATATGTTTGATTTCCTTACAGAAATATGTTGAGAATGTGAAACAAGATGCCAGCATTGGCACAAACATTTTGCGCGTGTCCGCCTCTGATGAGGATGCCGATAATAATGGCGCCATTGTATACAGCTTGAGTGCGCCATTCAATCCCAACGATTTGGAGTATTTCGATATACAAGCCGAGTCTGGTTGGATAGTGCTGAAGAAACCGCTTGACGTAAGTTATTCGTAGACCAAGACACACTTATGAATTGTTGAATTTTATTTTATTTCTCTTTTTTCTAATTTGAGTTCGGCTTATGGTTTTAACAAAACTTTATTTGCTTAAACTAACAAAATACTTAAATGGAGGAAACGCGCTAATTTCTTTCTTTATAATTTCTATGTACTTTGCGTTTTACGAAATCTTTCTTTGATAAACCTTTACTAACATTTACGCAAACCAGAACTATTTAGGTTACAAAAGAAAAAAGGAATAGCGGAATTGTATGAAAACTGTACAATTCAGTCATTACAGAAATGTGCGTTACTTAATTTGAAAATGTCTTTATTTTTCAAATTTTATTTTAGTGTGTTTTTATTACTGTAATTCTCAACCAAATTATTGCCATTCGGTAATTATTTTATTTTTAATATTTTTTAATATCATTTTATTACTCTGCACCAACCTTTGTTGTATTCAAAGTGAAACCCTTAGTTATTCTTTAACAAAAAAAAATTAATTTTTCAAATGAAATATTTTATTTTTTATTTTTATTTTCTATTTATGTAGTATTTAAAACACATTAATCTATATGTGTAAGTTGTTAAACGAATTGAAATGCATTCGATTGAAAATATATATGCAGTGCAAATTTTTTTAAACGGTTTAGAAAAGTTAATAAAATTAACTATTTCTCACAGTTATGCAAAGAAGAACAATAGCAACAAACGAATTTTTGAAAATGAATGCCATATTCGTTAAGTTATTTTCAAATTTTGTTTAGTTTATAGTATTTTTATTTCCTAAATAAACAAAAAACCTTATAAAAAGTTAAAAAAATACTATTTTCATTTTCAACTTACCATTTCGTTGCATAGTTTCCCCACAAATGCGCACAATATTAGCGGCGGCATTGTAAATATATTGATATATAGATAAATGGTTGAAATATACAATATCATAAAATTGATTTTTAACATTTTTGAAACTCCCAAAAAGAAGAAGCATTCAGTAAATTTAGCATCAAAATAGCGAACGTTGGCAACTCTCGTGTTTTTTGACTAATGCAGTATGCAGTAAGAGGTTTAATTGAAGGATTAGATTGGTTAAATTATATAACAAGATTTAGGTATTAACAAAAAAAAAGACAAAAACAAAAATATAAAAAAATTAACACAATAATAAATATATGTAAATGTTTAAGATTGTATAAATTAGTAATTAACTACCGATTGTGCTTAACAAAGAGTGACATTTTCAACACTGCAACAACATATACTAAACCAAAAAAAAATTAATAAACTACAACAATCACTACAAATCCAATGGCGGTAACTGTTTTCAAAATTTTTGCTTAAAAACGCTTAAACTGATTTTTTGACAACGTTTTTAAGCTTTTGAAAACGGCTTTTTTTATTTGAAAAAAAAAAAAACAGAATGTATTATTATAGATACACCTTCATTTTGGTTTTTGTATTGAGTTTTTTTGTTGTTTACCTTTTAGTGACTAATATACATATTTACAGAAACAACTAAAATTTTTGTTCCGTAACTTAAAAAAAACTAATTTTTTGAATTTTTTGCCATATTTTGTGTGTGTATTTTCTGATATTTTTGTAAAAAAAATCAGCAAATATTTCTCAAGCGCGGAAGTGTAAGCCAGTCACAGACTCAGTTTCTTTTTGTTGGTCAACTGCAACTTTTTTAACGCCAAAATTATTTTTTTCGAAAACGCGAATGCATTCAGAAAAAACAAAAAAGAAAAAATGTGTATAATTGCCTATTAATGAAATAAATGCCATTTTGTGCATTTAATTATAGTATTAAATATATGTCATTTTTATTTTCCGTTTACTGCACCTTTCGCTCTTCTGTTCGGTTTGATTTTTCTTTATGGTTTTCTTTAATTTCTTATTTTTTTGATATAATTTTAATGAAATGTCTCTTAATAATTTCTTTCATATACAAACTATACATACATATGTGTGAAAACAAATATTAATATACACCAATTATGTGCGTTAATTCATCGCGCGGCAACCCATTGCAGGGTTGCTATCCAGTAAGTACAAAGTTGAAATTATGACACTTACGTACACCACCATGTGCATACCTGTTCCGTATGTGGAAAATAGCTCACATATTTGTATGCTTGCTGTAACCGTACTTGCATATGTACATACATATATACATAGTTTCCATCTCATGTGTAACGCACCATAACGGTAATTGCTGCTAATCAAATATTAAAAAAATTCCATCTCATGTTAAATCCCAACTTCAGTCATTGCGAAAGTAGTCGATAGATATACATATGTACGTTTGTCGTCCCTTCAGGTGAAGTTTTCAAAGCAAGTATCAAAGGCTTCTCTTTTCTGGAAACAGTAGGTAGAATAATTTTCCAGACATCACCACAAAGCTTTTCCGTATGTAGCTCTCTGGCAGTTGAGATAATAACTGAGAGTGCAAATAACGTTCTCTCTAGAAGATTTAGAAATTAATCATGAAACTCTTTGCCATCAACTTCTGGAAAAAACCTTCCCTGTTTCATATTCAAAGATAGTTTCAAATATTTCCAAAAAATTTGATAATTTTTTATAGAGCAGTTGTGTTTATAGAAATTGAAAATCGAGTAGAGTAGCTGCAAAAAACAAGAAAGAAAAAAGACGGTATAGCAAATAAGATCATTTTTGAGCAAAAATCTGATGAAACACTTTTCGGGTAACAATTTTCAATTGTAAATATCTAATTTTTATATTAAATAATTTCTTTTTAATTTTATAAAATAAATAACTTTTCCGATTTTATAATTTCATATAATAAAAATTTCATGAATTACAGTATTAGTCTCAAAACTAAAAATGAGAGTGTTTCATAATGAGAAGAAAGGATGCGCTAAATATATCTATACACATTCTTCTTGCGTCTGGCATGCATCTGATCGAGCAATGTCTCCAATTTTTCGTCTCGAAATTTATGTGGTTGTCCGTCGCCTAAGTCGAAATTGCCACTTTTGAACCGTGCAAACCACTTTTGGCACGTTCGTTCGGCTAAAGCATTGTCATCATAAATGCTCAGTAAAATACGTTGGCTTTCAATAGCTTTTTTCTTCGTGTTAGAGTAATGAAGAAGAACTCCCCGCAAAAACATTTTATCTGGTAAAAATTTCGACATTTTCAAATGAATGAAATAAATTGTTGTTCACGCTAAAACAAATGGCATCTACTGAAAACGACGCAAAATGACAATACATTTGAAGTGATTATAGTCGCAGCTGAGCAAAATAATACTGTTAGAGCCCTCTCTTAGAAAACCGCACGAATTAATGCATACACCCATATATTTTTCACCCAATCTTAAATTTGGAAAGCCCTTTTTAATAAAACAGATATGAAAATTTGAAAATAAGAATTACTCAAAATATGTGCGTTAGATTTCACGGGATGCCTGCTTTTTCTCCAAAAAGAGTTGGCGTTCTCATTGTTTTATTCTTTCGCTCTGAGCAAAATTTTGTATGTTTGACAGTTCTATAAGTGTCCGCTGGGCAATTATGGAAAATAATCAAAAATATGAGCGATAGCATTATGTTTTATATTTTCATATTTTCTATTGTTGACTATATGATGCTCAGCGAAAGTTCAAACCCTTTTTATAAAATTCTGAGAAATTGAAACTTATGAAAATAATTGAAAGTTTCAGTAATCAGTTGTAAAAAGAACAATTAAAGTCATAGATTAAATTAGGTAGTTATTTGTGTTAGTCAGCTGATTTATGCTCTCTTCTTTTGACTTTTAATAGATGAGGGCAATTAAGTGAGTACTTCGCTCAAGTACTGAAAATATTCAGTTATTTTTATATATATAGTGTTACAAGTTTAAAGGCAATGTACTGAGCGTACAAAAATTCACGAAATCGCTTTGAATGATCGAAAAGTAAAAGTTTTTTTCTCTCTCACTATTGACTAAAAAATCGAAAGTGTAAAAAACACAAAGTATAAAAGTGGTACTGAAATGTAAGAGCAGCGGTGCAACAATTGTGTGTCTCTTCCTGGAGACTGATCTTTCAATTTGAGCAGCAAAACTCGGCGATGTCTTTGTTAGGCCCGGAACTTTCCGTTATTGGGCCTTCGGTAGCCTTTGTCTTGAGGTATTTCTTTTCACTCGACATTTGTATAAAACTTTGCTTATATACACATAACTGTATTCAATTAAAAAAAATTACCAACTCTCATCAGTCCAGAGTCTACCTATACTCATTATTTGTCAAATTCACACTTAACCTTTGGATACTGCTAACGAAAACTCTCTGAACCCAGTGCCTTTCTCTCTTATTCTCGAAGTTAATAAAAAAAACTATTCACCGTAGTTCTCTTCCCTTCTTTACTTAAATCGACTGAAAACGCCACTCCAATGTAAACTTTTTCCAACAAACAATCATTAAAATCATGTAAATGATTACTCACATATGCAAATATTGGCAAAAATTAATAAAAATATAAATTTAATAGCAATAAAAATGTATTTTTTTGTTTGTATTATTTTTAATATTTTTTTAAATTATACGTTTTATGATTAATTTTTTATTTTGATATTTTAATCCGTTAATTTATTGCTTATTTTATATTAAAACTGCCGTAAACCGTAAACAAACATATAAACATATTGCTGAACGACATTGATTATGATTTAAATTCAATTAGCTATATACAGTTAAATTAATTGAACATATCCATCGAATTCGTTAAACATAAACAGATTCAGATATAAATTTACATACTAACACCACCTAGCAACATCTAAAGCATTCCAGTATATGTACACATATACTTTGCGCCACAGAAGTACTAGTTTTGAAATGCTAAATTTAGTCAAGTTTCAGTACATACTAGCAAAGACATAAACCATGAGCGCATACTAACGGTTAACATAACACTTAACATTGTTGAGAATTGTCAAATAAAATTCGTAATAACAAGAAAGCACAAGTGACACATAACAGTGGACTTTTATATAAAAAAAATAATTACTTTAAAGTTTCTATTCAAATCTTAAACCGCTTAGATAGTAATTGTCATAAAATGTACTAACTAACTGTTATCTCGCGTAAAAATTACATTTTACACTATTGTTACCGGAATGTTATCGCTAACAAGTTAACCTATCAAAAGTCCCTACTTACAGACACTGTAACGTAATTTTAACATTTTCGTATAAAACGTAATCACAAAATACCAAAAAAATTTTTTCTTTTCCACACAACAACAACATTACCAACCGATACTGTTAACATAACTGTTAACTATAATTTACGATCAAATATTGAAAAATATACAAAATATACACTCGCACACGCAAAAACAGCGTGACCGTTATCGTTTACGGGTGCGTGCCTCGGATCGTGGTGAGCCACCATCCTATGCGGATGTCGATGTTGAATTAGATGTAGTCGACCGTAATAACAAACCGCCAATATGGGATAAGAGCATATACGGTCCAATACATATACGTGAAAATGTCACTGTGGGTACGGTTGTAACATCGGTGAAGGCAAGGTTTGTATTAACAGCTGCTATCTACATACATATGCATATCTCTCTTAACAAGCGTCGACAAGCTGTATAGCATTCATACACACATATATACTAATTAACAAATGATTGACAAATTTTAATATTTTCGTATACATATATGTCTTGACATGTATTTTATGACATTAAACCACTTTGTAATTAAAGCTTGTCGAACTTACAAAACAGTATGATAACATTTAAATAAATTTCCTCTTCATACTAACTTTTTAGTAAATGTAAATTTAACATAATACATACTCGTACATACATAATGAACTTTTCTAATGTAATGTTAACTCATATTTGCAAGCAACTAACGGCAGCTTTTGTGTGAACGTAAAGGATATTTTTGTAAAGAAATCCCGAAATAAGGGTATATTTTTGTCGATTGGTGCTAAAACACCATACGCTGCGCGCATAAGTCAACACACCAATTCACCTTACACTGGTAACCACTGTGGTGTGTAACGAATGAGGTGCTTGTGGTGTACTTCCTTACCGTTGTAGCGTTGGTGTCCTTTCTAATCAAAGTCACCAACTGAGAAGTTACGTTCACAATGGATTTTTGAATTTTGAAACAAAAAATGCAAATCAATTAAAACAAAATGTTATGAAAACAACATAAAATAATGAATGTAAATTATTTTTATTGCTCTTTCCTTGCTCTCAACGTTTACTCCTCGCTCCAAAAATCAAGAAATCACTGTATTGGATATGCGTTTCCTACACTCCCTTAATCAAAATTGATGAAGAAAAGCAAAAACCGAAAACAAAAACAAAATTCAATTACAGCATACTTATCAATTTACGCTCCGCCCCTTTACACAAACCTTTATAGGATGCGGCCTTTTAAATAAAATGTTAATCATTTACACGGAAAAAAAAATACTGCACTAATAAAAAGGGTTTAAGGATATTTATATATGTACAATTATTTTGTTGTATTCGGGAAAATTTTCTAATATGTTTGGTAAGAAATTGATGAGGATTAAATTTGTGCTTTAGGAATTTCAAATCAAGAAAGTCTTTATACTATATTGAGCTAAAAGCCTTTACTTATTGTTATCATATTTGAGTTTGAGTGGACTAGCTAAGGTTTTAGGTAATTAACTTATGTGTTAATGTTTATATAAATAAAAAAAAATGTTAAAAAACAATTGCATTTAATGCTTGGATCTCATAAGCTCTGTACGCATCTTAAATGTTTAATAGATTTACCGCTGAAAACGAAATAATTTTAAGTAAGCTTTTCAAAACCTATGCAATATTTTAACTATAACTGCACAATTATTTATGTCATAGAAAAAAAAATAGAATAATTTATTTTTTAGCTTGTTTTTCTAATTTTTCTAAAATATTATTATTTAAATTTAAATTTGTGATTGTAATAAAATCGCTTGTTATAGAAATTTAAAGAGGAATGAAATATAACTAGTTAAAATTAAAAAATAAAACGATATATAAAATAATATAAAAAAATAAAAAAAACCATAAAAAAAATAAAATAAACTAAAATAATACAATTTAAAAAAGAAAAATGAAATTAAAAAAATAAAATGAAGCTAAACAAAATAAAATAAAATAAAATATAAGAAAATAGATTAAAACGAAATAAAAGAGAAATAAGAAACTCTACTAATTAAAATAAAACAAAATAAAATTAAGTTGCATAAAGCAAAATAAATCAAAATAAAATTACATAAAAAACATAAGAAATAAAGTTGTATAAAATATATATATAGTATAAAATAAAAAAAAAAATTAAATAAAATTAAAAAATTTAAATTAAAGAAAATAATATAAAACAAACTAAAATGAAATCAAAGTAAATAAACTAAAATAAAAATAAGCTGAAATAACTGAAATAAAAAAGATAAACTATATTTAACCAAAATAAACTGGCATTCATAAATTAAAATAAAATAAAATATAAATAAAAACAAAAATATAATAATATAATAATAATAATAATATCCTTGAAATGTGTAAATTATCAAACTCCGCTGCTTATAACTTAATTTTTTGCATATTGGCTTTTTCAAATAAATATCTTCTTTATATATTTATTTACAATATTTTTTAGTTTCCTTTTTTATGAAAATTTTGGGCTAGGATCGAGACAAAATGTGATTTAAAATCGTATGCTCTACTGTGATTCGTTTATATTTCATCGAAAAATATTTGCACTGCCTTTAAAAATATAATCAAAAATTACATACAAAATATATTTGTTTTTGCTTATCGCAGTGTTGAGTGATATTTTGCGTATATTAATTTATAATAACAACTCTTGCCATTTGAGTTCTCAAGGTTATTTATTTTTTATAGTTAGACTTATTATTATTTTATTAAAGGAAGTATGGAAATATTTTTGCTTATCTATATTTACATATATGTATGTGCATTCGAACAAATGTGCGTTTATAAAGTAAATGTGTGACCCAATGAGAACCAACAATTTTTCAATTATTTATTTCAAACTAATAACCGTACATAATTTTCCTTTTGGTTGTTGGCATTTTTGACACTTTTTTGGTTAAAGGTTTACAGTTTTTTAAGCAATTCATCAACTTATGTATTAAAACAACTCAACAATTTGCTAAACTTCACAACTAATGGGCAAAAAATATATATAATTTTTGTATTTTGCCTTCTTTTTTATAATTTCAAAAACGAAACAAATCGTTATACCAAAACAACATTTTTGCAACGCTTGGTATAAAAAAAAAAAAAAAAAAAAAATTATTTAACAACCTTAAAAAATGAATGCTACACATTTTTGAATGAACGATTTGATATCAATGGCAACGCGACACACACTACTCGCTGCGTCCGAAATATCCTACTAACCGCATATATATATGTGTGTGTTACGGTAATGAAAACATATGTATGAATGTTAATGTGTGTGAATCAAACAGCGCGAAACCTATAAATTAGAGGCAATGGCGCAGGACAAAGGCTATCCGCCACTGTCGCGTACCGTCGAGGTGCAAATCGACGTTGTCGATCGGGCCAATAATCCACCCGTATGGGACAATACGGTGTATGGGCCAATATATGTAAAGGAAAATATGCCAGTCGGTGGGAAAGTCGTCTCGATCAAAGCCAGGTCTGTTTATAATTGAAGCGAACGTATTTTTTTCTAATGAAAATTAGACAACGATTTACTATAAATTTTTAAAAATAATCTTATATAATCATTTTTTATTGTAGAAATATTACAGAATAGAAATACAAGTATATATGTATTTTTTTAAATATTTATATGTAACTGTGTATAAAAATATGTTTTGTTATCAGAGTTTTTTAAATTTTTTTATAAATTTATTTTCTAAACATTTTTAATTGATTTTTATTTAAATGTAGAATTATCTTTATTTAATCGCTCTTATTGTGTAATATATTTATTATTTCACAATGGCTATAACTAAAGTGTTTTACATTGTGTGTCTGTATATAATTTTATTGTAAATTGCACTCTACCCAAAGTCCATAGTCCTTGAATCCTTTCCAAAAAGTTTTAATAATTTAATTAAACTCGATGTGTAGGCGACGACTTGAAATTAATTAATTTAGAACAATAACAATGACGTTGACAATGATGATGTCAGTGTCCATGACAATCATAAATCCAACAATTGGGAGAATTATAATGACAATGACAATGACAATGACAGTGCAATGACAGTAACAATGACAGTGACAATGACAATGACAATGGATATGGCAAATACAATGACAATAAAAAGGAAATGACTATGAAAATTGCTGTGACAGTGATAATAACAGTGACGACGAAAATGCCAAGTGACAGTGAAAATGTGAGTGAGTATGACGATGACAAAGAGGAAACATAATGACAATGACAACGAATAAGACTATGGCCATGACAGCCACAATGATGATGACAATGACAGTCACCATGACAACCGATGATAAGGGCCGCACGTATAACTATGGCTAGGAGAATGACAACCATAATGCGAATGATAGTGGCAAAGATAATGACAATTACATTATCATTGACAATAAGACGACGATGATGACAATAACAAAGAAATAAAATCCCTAATACTGTCAAACGATGTATACTTAACTTATTAGCCATCAACCACCTTCCGATATCATGTTGACCAGTAGAAAAGCTGGCAGATATCAATTATCCTTAACAAATGCCTATTCCTTCACAATATATCCTCCGCTATGTCAGCTCCACTCACCCGATTACTTTTCAGCTAACCACTTCACCTTCACTATATTCATGCCTTCACTAAGCACCAAGAACCAAGCACTTTAAAGCACAAAAATCAACAATTAAGACAAATACATACACACACACACACTTATATAGTTATTTAGTATATACATTAGAAATTTAAGTATTTTCACAGTTGCATACAACAATCACATCACATTCATAAATACCATACATATTTACATAAGCCAGCACATGTGCCAGCTATTAGTGGCATGCAACGGCTATGAAATGCATAAGCATATAATTATAACCTCACCTACATGTACATATTTATACGCACTTATCTAGGTGCATCAGATTATTTTGCCACGCTGTTTATCTTATACTTTTTTCAGCATAATAAATTACATTTTTTAACTTACACCCAGTGCATTAATTGCAGCAGCACACACGCCCAATTGTCTCTCCCTAGTTTTTTCCTTAACCAGCTCACTTGTGTATCCACGCCTATCTCATTCGGGCGCTGCAAATAACGCTAATGACACTTTCGGCCCTTAAATACATATATACACACACATACATACAGGCGCAAACTTTTGATATTTAACTCCCTTGTATATATGCTTACCCTTTGCAACCCCCTGCAACCTATTACCACATCTTTAAGCTAACATTCGTGCTCTTAACTCTTAATTAATTAAAGAGGCAATGAGATATGAGAGCGCCACTCACCTCACATTTCCACCTGGTGAAGCTGCTCCACTGGACTGAACTCATGCGT